AATCGCTCACTTAAGTTGAATGTCTGACATGTTTACTAGTGATTTAATCTAATAGTGAACGAAAACACAAATAATCTTGATGTGTCTATAAACTGCGAATGTTCATTTCCCCATAATATCCTCATGTTTCTCATCTTTCTCAGTTCATCTCAAATACAATTACTTTCGCATGATTCATCCATATTTATTGATGTTCCTCAGTTTCTGGATTTGTTCCACGAATGTTCTCTGTTTAATCCTCGATCATCCATCAACAGCAACTATTCATTCATTTGTGAATAAGCTGCATTTCTGTCTTCCTGTCTCTCGCAGTACCATGTGATCCTATATCCATATGCATGAGGGTATATCCATATACTGACGATTAAGTGAACATCAGCAGCATAAGCATAGCATATAAGCTAGTTATAAGCTAGAATGATACGTTAGTAAACATTAATGTAGCAATGAAACAGAACATAGCAATCATGTGATTATGATTCAACTCGTCAATTGTTTACCACGTTCAATCAATTCTACCTATTATTGCCAGCCGAATGTTGCTTATTCGAGCAAATATATCGATTCATGACGTTCTCGACAAAACAACTGATGAAATAAACAGCCAAATGGAAGCAGTTGAGTCAGCTAGCTTCCTCTCTTCTATCCACTCTCAGCCTGTCTAGCTATTATAGATTGTTATTCACAAGATGTTTTTTGCTCCCTTCCATCCAATTCCATTAGTGAGATAAACAATTTTGATTGTGGTTTATATCTTGAGAAGAGTATGCCTTTCAGTGTGTCTTAAAATGTTTTTATTGGAGATTCTACTCACGTATTCGATCGTTTATTGTTTCATTTCGTTGGATATGATAAGGATGTTATCAGTAATACCATTATTTCATTATTGTCATCCAAATTACTATCGTTTATCGTAATATGATAAGTGTTATTCGTCGCGGAAAGGGTCCCCGTCGCTGTTCGTGACGGGACCTCCGAACACCTTGCTCTCCGACTAGGTTCCCCCTCCCCCCTTCCTCCAACCCACCTAAAAAGTAATTTTTCTCACGTTGCTCTCCAGTAATTTTTCTCACGTTCATCGCTATCGCATTCATACCGTTTGGTCTGCCAACCATATCGTTGACCTCTTAGCTCTGTTTGTTTAACTCTATCAGGCGATTAGATCAACCGAACCGGTTCAATATATTAACACACTTCGTGATAACAATTTATGCAGTTCCCGCAATAATCAGATTCGATATAATCGCTCAAATAATCCGATAAAACAGCTGAAGTGAATAAATATTCTCTTTAGAAATGGCAGATTCTCGCAAAGTCAAAGACGGTACGTTATTACGGTTTAAGAGTGGTCTTTTGAGTAAGAAATGGAAAGAGTGCTATGTGGTGCTGTTCAGTGATTCAACACTTGCTTGGTACGACAAAAAGGTTATTATTTATAACTGAACAACTCATTTCTTGACCTCAGGAAGCAATCGCTTTGATAATGTTAATTGTCTGATTCGATGAAAGTACCAATTCGAAGTCATCTTCTAAATTCTGGATGTAATTTCAGTCCGATTCTCGACCGATTGACTCCGTTTTCCTCAAAGATGTTGTACCTTACATTTGTGTCGGATTGTTATGCGACAGAATGCCTGGTAGGTGAAAGCCTTCTTTATCAGTTATGAACAAAATCAGTGGTCGAGTTTATCTTCATAAAGCCTCATTTCAAAATAATTTCAGTTCGTCGCCCTCAACTTCCAGACAAATATTCAGTGCATCATTTAGTGGGAATCGGTATGGATCCACAAGCCAGTAAAGTACACTGGTTCTTGTTCTCGTCAGACTCCGATCTCGAGTATGCATCCTTCTCGATACAATACTTTTAACTGATCACAGTTCTGATCTACCCCATAAATCAAAACGTACAAATGTGCAATCCATTGTGATCGAGCAAAAATATCACGAATATTTACAGTTAATGAAATATCGAAAATTTTTTAGTATCGCTGTCTGAATTTTAGAATTATTCATACAGTATATGCTATTCATATGATAATACTGAAAATGCGTTGTAGTGAATCATCAAGCCTGTTCATTCATTCCAGGTCTTGGTTCACTGAAATCACGAAGACTCTTCCAAAACCTGCCAATCCACCGCCTCAAAATGTACCATCTCAACCTCAGCCCGCTTCAGGCGCAGGAGCGCCACCTCCAGCCTACAGTAAGTTGGATTGTTTGATTTGTGCTGGGAATTTTTGCATAGTGATGTTTGCGATTTTGATTTTTAAATCTGTGAATTATATTAAATACTATGAGCAGAATATCATATTAGTGATACGATATTATTCACTGACATTTCATTCGTTTATGTTAATCGTCCAGAATTATAAACCGATTTGAAGTGACCTCGATTTTCAAAGTGAGATCCCCAAAGTGTTGATTTCAGATCCGCCAGCTGTGTATCCGAGCGCACCTCCACCCGTTAATCCACCACCACAATATCCTCCACAAGGCGGATATCAACCCCAGGTTGCTGGCTACGCAGGTGGACCAGGACCAGCTCCTGGTTATAATGCGCAGTACGGGGGTGGAGGACCAGGATATGCTCCGGGAGGTGCTGGCTCCAATACAACTGTTATTATTCGGGTAGGTTGACGAGTTCAGTTGAGTGTTTTCATGAGTGATTATTATAGTAACGTCAATAAGGATAATGAAACGAATAACTGTATGTATGTGATCTTATCGTCATATCTTCAGGATGGCGGCGGTCCAGGCTATAGCAGTCCAGGACGTAGCAGTGGACCTGGATTTGGGACTGGGATTGGTACAGGTCTTTTGATGGGTTCACTATTGGGGTATGGATTAGGTAGCTGTTGGGGTGGAGGACTCTATCCGAGTTACGGATTTGGCGGAGGAATGGGATATCCGATGGGTATGGGAGGTGGTTACGGCATGGGAGGTGGTTACATTCAGGTAAGATTTTTTATTTAAACTGATTTTTTGGATTCAGAATGCCTTTCACCGATTTTAGCATTTTTATTGATCGTGTGAGAGAGGGCAAAAGTTAGGACACTAGTATTCTGAAAGGATAGACATATCTAATTGGAAGACAGAGTATATTCGACTCATTTTCAATAAGTCTATGACTTAAGTCAAGGATATTTTTTGATGTGGATAGTATAATTTAAATTTGAATGCTACATTTAAATGTGAATGTGCATATGAAGATGCATCATTAACATGAGCTGCATTCAACTGCAGCCACACGATTACTAGCGCAGTGAAGTGAAAAAAACTGCAATAATTTCAGGACAACGATACATATGTAACGAACAATTATTACAACGTAAACGATAACGACACAACAACGAACAATGACATAACGAATACAACTACTAACGAAACTAATAATGATGCTGGAGGGGCAGGTGACGACTATGGATATGATGATTACGGGGGTGCGGACGATTACGGAGGCGATGGTGATTTCGGTGGAGGAGACTTCGATGGAGGGGACTTTGGAGGGGGTGATTTTGGCGATTTTGGTGGAGGTGATTTTTAGACGTGATACGGTGATTGATCGGTTTGCGAGTGTTGATTGCTGCTGCACTCACGAACGAGTCGAGTCGTTGTATTCAGCATTTTGTAACAGTCACCAAAGAATACTACAAATAACTTTATCGTCAATTGTAAATTTATCATGATCGTTGATAATCGTTGTTGTGAAAAGTGTATATTTTATTGTATTTGATTATATTATATTGACTGGAATAAAAATATCTCTTTGATTCATTCAACAGCCAACAATTTATCAGCATAATCGCAAGAAGTGAACATGAAATGCAGCTAACATATCCACCAAAAACTTCACCTTCAGTTAGGATTCCGATACATGGGCAAACTCTCTTATGGGAAGGGGGAGGGGGTTGACAGGAGGAATTCAAAAATAGCAAAGAGTAACTGGGGAAGTTGGCAAAATAATGCTGACTGTCCTTTTCTTTCGTAGTTCTTCCGTAGTTGCTCAATAATGTCTTCAAAATGCTTGTTTTATGTCATGGAAGTGATTTCTCTGATCTCTGATTTGTTGATGATTTTAGACAGTATACTTCTTGAGCTTGATTCAGTTTTCCGATTACCTCCTGACGTGTCGTTAAAGTCCAATATGGTAGATTATTAGGGAAAGGGATTGGAGAGGATAATCTGCCGAAAGGAGACATAGGGCGGACAACTTAGGAATTACTGCTGTTTCGATGCCTGTTCTGGCCTGCTGCATTAAGTGCGTCGTGTTCGGTACTTCTGTAAGCTAAGGATTCCTCACTAACTTCATATTTCTACGATCCGAGTATAACAAGCATGACTTCTTCGATGTATCTATGTCTCTGATGGGATGTTTTATCTTCCTGACAATGAGTTTCATTTATTACATCGTCTGGCAATCAGCACGATCAAGTTCGGGTATGAGATAATACTTTTTTCAGTCACTTGATTATGTCTAATTAATTGTCAGGATTGATATTTGTAGAAGATTCGTTCATACGATTTCGAATGCTTTAGGTATCGCTCACTCTCGAAATTTTTCTATAAGTGAAGAGTGCATTGACGAGAATGAGAGTAAACACATTTATTCAGTAATAAAACAATGAAAAAACTTGTGAATATCGTTCGAATAGAATGAAACGAAATAGTTGAAAATCTCAAGAACGTAAAAAGGATTAAGAATCTGTAGAAAGTATGAATTTCGAGCGCAGCCCAATATTTCGGAGTGTTCTGAGCTGTGGCGAAATGCTAAACGGTTGACTTGGCATCGTGATACAATTTTGAATGTGGTTCATGGAAATCC